TGGATTGTAATTTTGTTGTTCTTTTTTATTCGATCTCCTATTCCATTGTTGTATTTTATTTTTATTTCAAGTTGTTCATCTCAATTAATGTTTTTATCTAAAATTATCATTTATCATAATATTTTCATTTTTATATATTCTATTTAAAATTAATTTTATTCAATTTTATTCTTTAAATTTTATTTTAAATACATTTTTATAATCTAAAATAAAAAGAATAACTAAATTAATTTTTTAAAATTTCATTATAATTTTTTTTAAAATCTAAATATTTTAAACTGAAAAACTAAAAAAAATACAAATCTGGAAAATAAATATTTCAAAAATCAAAAAAAAAAACACAAAACACAAAACGAAAAAAAAAAATGGCCCATTAAGAAATCGGTTACTGAGTAACCTATTTCTCAAAGGGACTTTTCAAAAATTTGCAAAAATCTTTTTGAGAAATCGGTTACCAGTAACTGATTTCTCACCCAAAAATCTAAGTGTATATTTAAGTAAATATATTTGAATTTAGATTATTTAAATAAAAAAAATGATATATTAAATAAAAAAGTCCATAATAAATGAGAAGAAAAAATATAATATAAAAAAGAAAAAGAAATAAAGATATAAGAGAGAGGGGGTGGAGAAAGGAAGAGAGACAGAGTGAAACTGAAAGAAAAAAGAAAAAAGAGAAATAAGAGAAAGGGAAAGAAAGAGAAGAGGGAGGAGGGGAGTGAGAGTGAAATTTTCACTCTCCAAAATAATAATTTTGAGAAAATATGTTAAAAATAATTTTCAGAAAACTACATTTCCAAAATAAAAAAATATAAATGATTATCAATCATGAAAAATCAAAATTCTTGATTTAAAATTTTTAAAGAAGTAAAATCATTTCACGTGTCAAACGCGATTAAGAGTTATAAAATCTCGTAGACTTGCTTGTCTGAAGGTAAGCTATGATACAGTTTAAATACATACATCCCTTCAAACGTAATATAAATTAGATTAAAAAAGGGCATATTGATATTAAATGTTTTACAGTCAACTCCTTTCAATGACAACCAAGGCACGAGAAGAAGTATGCAATGACCGCTCAATTGTGATAACAAATTCAATTCTTAGTGTATGGGGAAAACATTTAAGGATAAATTAAAATTCAAATAAAACTCAATAACTTGATTTAGAAAAGATTGTGATTTCTAATTAAATCAATGAATAATAGTGTTATATAGGGGTATTAAGAAGTGTCGGTAACAATTCTCCTATGCATAAATCGTAACACACGTCTTATTCAGACGAATAAAATTGTAAATCCGTCACCGGTATTTCTTCTTAACAAGACCACTCTGTAATTGAGAACTATAAATTACAATCACCACGGGAATTTTAATACGAAAAAACAAATGACCAACACAAGGGTATTTTAATACAGCAATTGCAGTGGAGTTCTTTCTCTCACCACCTTCTAGCACTGCCTCAGGAGCTCCACAAGCTTTATGCCTGGCTTCGCCATAGCTCAAACACTTCCTTCTAACCAGCCATTTTCCAGTATAAAAAAGTCCACAACCTAAACTCATTATCACATCGTTGTAATCTAACAACCATATTTTTGGAAAAAGTGAGGAAGAACATGGAAGCTGGCCCCATCCCCAAAATCATGCACACTATCATTTTAATTCAGCGACTAACTTTCGAATAGAGAGAAACTTAACTTCGTTACCTGTTGACCATGTTGAAAATAAAAATAACTTTGACTTGATTAATTTTTCTACAACAGCTACCAATTGCTTCGCGAATCAATGCACCCAAAGTTTTTCGGAGCATTTCCTGGCGTAAGAATCAAATGTAGGAGAAAAGAAAACAGAACTCAATAGGCCCCAATCAGTATTGTTAAATAGCCACTACATTCAAGGTTGTGCAACTATAGTGGCATGTCAATTTTTATTTGCTTACAACTTATATTTTAAATTGATATATATATATATATATATATATATATATATTGTATATCTT